AAATCACGTGTTTATTTTTCAAACTTTTGAACATATTCACATCTTGTATAAAATAATAGAAAATCTACAATTCACAATTAAGACACTGAGAGAATTAAATTCTGATCTTGTTCACCAGATCGCTGAACTTAGAAAGAAGTTTGCTGAGGTCAAGGCTGAGAATATCGAGATTAAAGCAGAGAATGCAAAAATCAAGGCTGAGAATATTGAGATTAAAGTTGAAAATACGAAGTTAAAACAAGCTTTGGAAGAACATGAAACCAGATTTACGAAACTGAAATATGATATTTCACTAATCAAGGAACAGAACTCGCAAGGCACAGATACTATTAATTTGCAGAATCTAATAAATTTACAAGTACCCATTCTTCCTGAAATAAATTCTGATAATACACCCATAAAGAATATTTCGTCATATACCGATGTGAACCAGCTAAAGACTAAGAGCCAACCTGATAAGGAGGAAGCTATTAATCCTGATTCTATACCTGAAATAGAACATAGCTCAACCCAATCCGAATCACAAATAACTTTTCTATCTATCGAATTCCACTCTGATAAAAAAACTTCAATACACTGTGAAACAAATGATTCTATAACTAATATTACTCCTGTAACTCCCGAACAGATAGTCTCACAAAGTGAGGATGTTCCTGCATCTGTTACACCTGATATAACAAATTCTGATATATACCAACCTATTTGCATGGAGCCTAAATCATTGGAGGATATAGAAATCGATAAATTCCTAGATTCAGAAAATAAGAAAAAGGTTAGTAATGAGATTAGGCAGAGGAATAGAGACGAAAAACTTTAGTGTGATTCACCTAGCCAGGAGGTACACTCGATTTCTCAGAATTCTGCATCCACTACTTCTCGTGAATGGAAAAACGAACAGGGCTTGTTTTAATAGATATCTTACTGTGAGCCCCTTCTGTAATTGTGGTTCATTCTTTCCAATAGGTCTTTTAGGTTTGGTAGATACTTTAGGTATTACTTCTTCCAATATCATTGCATATGATGGCGACATGCCTATTAATCGAGTTTTATTATTATTTATATAGTCGATAATTTTTTGAAGTATCTTGTTTCATAATTTCGAGCGTTCACCTTCTTTGAGTTTTTCCTCTATGGTATATTGAATTTTGTATATAAGTCTAGCCAAATCTTGTGAATTGTAGATTTTCTATTATTTTATACAAGATGTGAATATGTTCAAAAGTTTGAAAAATAAACACGTGATTT